TATATTGAGGCAGACGTGCGACGCACTTACGGCACTCTCTCGCATCCAACGGTTGCGATGAAAAGACATTGACAAGCCGACCGGAGTTAGGCTCAGGAACCATGGCTTGCAAAGATAAACGGTCTGTCCGGCACACACGACCTGCTCCTGTACCAGTCTTTTAGATAGGCAAGGTCGTACCTCACATACATGAGAGTAACATAAAGGCCACATTGCGAAGGCAGTGTTGAGAAGGACCTTCGGGCTTCCAGCCAGTTACTCCATAATTACACGGTTTTTAAGGTATGGGGTTCACATTCGGACGTCAGCTGACTGATCTTGACTCAACTGACGATATCGTCCTCCTAGCTTCAGGCTTTGGTGATATGCCGTCTGTAGTGTTAAGTTGAATGAGATCGGTATGTCGGTTGACTTGTCTATAAAGGGAACCATAGCAGACGCGTCTTCCTCGCGTTCCCACCGGCCCCACGGCGGCCAAGGTCTGCAACACCAATCTCTCTGCGTTGGATCAACCCTCCCCTCCTCTCAACCTGTGTTTTTGATGACAAAGCAGCCCCTTCCGGCCACGCTGCTCCGACTCTTCCTCCTCGTCACTGGAATTGTGGCCAACTCTGGACCTCCTTTGTACTGCTCCTTCTGTCAAGTCCGCCTGGGCCGCCGCGACTGTTCTGTACGTTACAGCTCCTGCCATGGTTGGTGCCATCTTCGCTGCAGTAACCTCGCCAACTCTGACGATTGGTCGCCTGCATTCACCTGCCCCGTGGCTCTATCTGCCCCTACGCCTCCTGCCTTTCCTGTCTTCCACACAAATGCTTAAGCCTCTGACCTGGTTACGCCACCTAGCCTTAAGCTAACGGTCTACTCGGCAAGCTTGACCAGCTTGTCGCATTCATGCTTTCGCACAGAACAGCTGTAGCGGCTATCCAAGAGACGCAGTGGTCTAACTCCACCAAGAGCCTTTCCTGTGCCGACTAAACGATCGTTCATCGTGACCGCGGTCGCAAGGCAGAGGTTTGCCCTTCTTGGTGGACAAATCCATTGCCCATCATCAGCTACCCCTGCTTGGTGCCGATCCCACGGAAGTATTAGCAATTTCCCTTGACACTGACGCGGCGCCGCTAACCATCGTGAACGTCTACATCCCTCCAAATTCCAGTTATCCTCCCGATTTCACCGCCTCTATCGCTTCTTATTTACTTTCTTGAGACAGTTTGGTGCTAGGTGACTTTAACGCCCACCTTGACTTGTTTTGCTCTAACTTGCCGGCCGATCCCCGGGGAGAAG